AATGGAAAAATTACGTACTTGAAGAAATTTTCGAAAGATTATTTCGCCATCAATGTGTATACTCTAGGTCAAATGCAAAGAATTCTGAACCAAAATTAAAGCCAAACTAAAATCAACGCTCCGATGTGAACCGATAAAAGAGGTCTTCAAGACTATTGACAGAGGCAAATTAGGCTCAAAAATTCACCAGGTTTTTTGGATGAAAATTTCAAATCTCGCGAATGCTGCTCTAATTGGTTACAGCTGATTGCAAGCCACCTAACTCCCAGTCTTAAACAAAATTTGCCACTACCTTTGTCACCAATTGGGGGGGGGAGGGAGGGGGAGGGGCAAAAAACGGATATCGATTTCTTGAAAAAAATGAATCGATTTCTTATTTTATGAAACCGTGAACTGGAAAATCAATGGACAAATCAACTGAACTCGACGCAGTGCCATTCCATATTCACAACTATTCCCTAGTCCCGCCTTCGAACATCCCCCCCCCTCCCCTATCCTCCATCAAGCTGTCAGAGGTATTTAAGGTAATGGATAAAGCACCTGCCTCTTTGAAAGTTAATTCCTTTTTATTGGGGATAACTATTCTGATCTGGATTTTTAATTACCGTAAGTGTTTATTAAGCCAAAGCGAGAATAACTGTAAGGTTGCAAAGAATTGTACATAATTATTTTGTATATAATTGATATGAGTGAAATCGTACCCCGAGTTACTGTTAAGAGTAGTTTAAAAGAAAGAATAACACATATGTCAAAGAAAACAACAATCTTATTGGATTGGAAATTACACCGATGTAGCTCACAAATAATGACATTTAATTAGGTAATTATTTAATTGAAAAATTTGTCTAATTTCTTTGTGCTCATTCATTATTTGTAATATTTTATTTGCAAATGAAAAAATAATAAATAATTTCTTCATTACTTCCGATTTTGGGGTTTAAAACTTTCCAACTGCAGGTTATTTGCTCCACTCGCGAAAGAAGCAGTTTGACTTCAGTAGATAATTCTCAAATCTTTTGTAAGAGGAAACCAATCAGTCAGATTTCTTCTTTTCGAGTAATTATGAAAACTTACATCCTAACTTTCGTGGGGCTAACTGGTCAAATACATATAAACTTTGGTTTCGCATGATTTAGGAATTTTACTTTATTCAACCAGTGTTTTCTATCAGGTTTATTGACCTCTAAAGTAACAAAAAATTATTGCAAGGTAGTTTTATCATTGTGCAGAAAAGCCTAGCTGGTTCATATCACCTTACCACTCTATACTCTAAATATGAGTGAAATGTCACTTTTCGATCCTTTAATCTCGATCAATTTCGCACGCTCTTACCTATGATGTTCTTCTAGGGTATGCGATAGACTTACCTCCACGTGGTGCACCCTGGGCATCGTATACTCATACGGCAAAAAAGTCTATAAAACGGCAGTTGATTTCTGACTTCAAGCTACCATGACCCTACTGTATGCCATATTCGACCGCTACCACAGTACTCACCTCTCTGTTTTCTCTGCCTTTGTGTCTGTCTGTCGCTTTTACATCTGTAATTCATTCTTCTATCCCCCTCTCTCGACTTTTTCTCACTTTGATGTTCTTTCCTTGTATGAAGCCTGAAGTCAACTAAAGGGTTAATGATAATTATCAAAACGCCTGACATTCGAAATAAGTAAATGATGTTCTTCTAGCCCAGTCAATGATTCAGATCAAAAGTCATTTTTTGGTAATTGTTGAATAAATAAAAGTAGGGCATTCCAAGAAATCGTCACTTCATCCTAACGCAGTCCCTTAATATCTCAATAAGAAATATATTTCTGATCGAAAAAAGAACAATGAGTTTTTCTGAATGTCGGGATAGCAATTTTACGCACCTCCAATGGCCTTATCTACTCACTCAAAGCCACAAGATGACAAAAGCATTTAAATCAACTTGCCGAAAAAAAATGGAATATTGCGGACATGAATTCACCCAGAAATCCATTGATCAATTCATGGAGCTGAGGTTTAGAGCATCTGAAGTGCCTTAAAAGCGGGAAATCAATAAATTCTCTTATCTCTAGAGGTCAAGCAAAGTGAGACTCGTTTTGTCCCTAACTACTCTTCCTCGATTTTTCGAGTGTTAATGGTCTGCTGCACTAATGAAAACTTTCGACAATGTACTTGGTCAACGTTCTTAGAGCAACTACGTGTTACCCAGATTCTCCCCTAACACAGAACTGATAATTTAATTGGCTATACATTTTTGGCTACTTTACAATTACTCTAACTTTGATTTCGTAAAACACGTTTGGTAATAAAGAACCAAAATCGAAATATTAATTCTCAATTAAAAAGATTTTAACTCCTAAGTGCCGGTTACGTTATCCAACTTGATGTTCGGCAATTTCCTTACAAACGTCTGACACTTCACTGACAGGGGGGAGAGGGAGAGAGGTGTTGAAGGCGGGAATTACGTCAATCATCCACTTAGGTTCATGCCATTATGACATGATAGTCTAGTCTCTGATGTCACAAAATTTACTTTAACGATGCAGAGAAGACATTTAAATTTCATTGAGCCATAATGTTTTTTGTGGACTAAAATTAATTATTAAAGACAATTATAATTAACGCTTATTTTAACAATACCGAAGTAATGTAAATCTTATTATGTAAATTAGGACATAGAGGGTAATGTGATTACATTTGATTAAAAATAAAACACTTAGTAAACTCTTGTATCTATACTAGGTGTCGAAACCTAGAAATTAGACATTAGTAATATCATAACTAAGCAAAATTATTCAAGGGCGAACACGAGTACCTTAGTGAATTTAGTGATATTGCCTTTAGTTCTCCACAGGCCCCTAATGACAAGATTATATATATATATATCAAATGGCAAGCATTATGGTAGTTATGATTAGCCCTTTAGCTGACGTTGAGCTTCACAGAGAGGAGGAACATCGAAGTCACGAAAAGATCGAGTGGGGAACAGAAGAGTGATACATAGATGTAAAAGAAACAGACATAAAGGTAGATAAAAAGGTATGGTGGGCACTGTGGAAGGGGCTGAATATGACATACAGTCTGGTCATAGTAATTTAAAATCAACTATCGGTTTGGAAACTTTTTTTGCTGTATGAGTATACGTTGCCCAGGGAGCACTACGTGGAAGTAAGTCTATCGCGTACCTCAGGTTGCTATATTATAGCTCAGTGGGAAGTCTTGAAAAGTAGTTTATTCAATCAAATTTGAAGAGATTTGTTTAATTACACGATTAAAGGGCCCGTCTGTGAATATAGAGACCGCGGCTTTGAAATCCCTAGAAGCGCTTCCCGAGAGTTGAACGGCCAACTGCATTGACCAGTTCTGACTAAGATCTCTCACTCCGATGACAAAGTGGCGCTTACCTTCTACTCAAAATGAGTAGTGGAAAACACTTTTATTTGAAAGGTTTTGAGACAGCTAGAGATCTTGATTTTTAATCTGGTATCTCACGAACTGACCCGCTTTCACTTGATGCTAGAGGGATTCAAACAGTCGAAATTAACCAATTCTAAGGGCAAGTGGAAACAATGCGTCCGTTTTCGGATTCTCGGTGCTGGAATAAGCTGTCATGCAAAACAAGTTAATCACGTCCATTAATGATGTTAATTCTAATGGGATTATATTACCTTCTAAGATTATGATATAACATCATTAAACGCCATCAATTTTACCTGGAAAATTCTGTACTGCTCAAAATAGTTCCTTATTTCTAATGAAAAATTCAATAATTAAACAATATTTTCCAAAGAAAAAAGTATGAAAATAGTCATCTTCAACACTTTAAAAGCATTTGTCAATTTGCTTGTTTTAACACTTAGAGAAGTCATATATGCAATTATATTTATGATCAGTGACAACATATTTCCATGGCTTCGCCATTTGTCATTTGATTTTATTCAAGATGGCATGGTAACCCCATTCCATGTTCCTACTGGTTCAAAGTCACTAAATTTACTATCCGGGGTACGTGATAGACTTACCTCCACGTGGTGCACCCTGGGCAACGTATACTCCTACGGCAAAAAGTCTATTAAGCGGCAGTTGACTTCTCACTTCAAACTGCCATGACCCCACTGTGTTATATTCGACTACTTCCACAGTATTCACCTCACCTTTTTTCTTCCTTTGTGTCTGTCTCTTTACATCTTTGAAACACTCTTCTGTCCCCCCCCCGTCTCGACTTTTTCTCACTTTGATGTCCCTTCCCCTCTGTGAGGCCTGAAGTCAACTAAAGGGCTAATGATAACCATCAAAACGCCTGCCATTTGATATCAATAAATAAATTTACTTTCCCGCTAAAAAATTCCCATTGCACATTGTTTTAAGACTTAATTAAAGATTGTCTAAGAATGACCAATACAGGACTCTTATCTTTTAAAACAATATTCAAGTTCGACAGAAGTAAGCCGACCCCATTAGTTTCGAGACAGAAAGGGACAACGAATTCTTCCATCGTGAAAGTCACCACTTAGTTATTTTATATTGACAAGAAGACGGTATTCAGATATTTATTGATTAACTAGATTTAAGTGAAATTTATCATCTAGTTGTAACAATATTCAGCATGAAATTTAGGTATTTTATTTTATTTAATAATTTTACTACCAAAGCTTTCATGCTCTCTATTCTTTGGGTTATCGCATTTTGGAGTGAGTACTAGCCTGGATAATCAGGAACATATCAATTTTTAAAATTTCCGCCACATATTTAAACAATTTCCACATTTTTCCCAAAATCATTTTTTTTTATTTTTTACTTATTACTTTGGTAGGTATTTACGCCTCCAAAATCGCAAGACTGGTTCAAATCACAAGTTTTTTCCCCTATTTTTTGACTCATTTGGAATAATTCACAAGAATCTGTTGATGAGAAACACGCTGATTTCGTCCATGAAACACAATGGAAAAGAGATCTATTTACAAGCAAGTGGATATGATTTGTCAATTGATGATTACTCCTCATATGGCTGAGCTTTACTCGGAGAAGACGCTATCTTCTACATCAGCCGCTGCTGGCGGGCGTCGACAGGGGTCGAACATCCTGGTCAGGAATTGTGTTGGTTTCATGCAAGTTCCCTTTTCATCCTTCAGGCAGAGCGAACAAGCAAAAGCTACAAGAAAAAAACTCATGCTTATTTCTCTTACCCTGTGAAACACTACTCGCACCCCCCCCCCCCCCCCCCCGCCTTAAATAAATGACTTACAAATTAGACAAGTGCCCATGCAAGAGAAGTAGACGTAAACCCACTTTCCGTCAATGTGAAAGTGACTAATAATACCGGAAAGAATTAGTGTTCCCGGGGCCTAGAAATATATAAAGTAATAGGTTACAGTACCTAAAATGGAACTTACATTGGCAAAGAAGATGAGACCGTAGATTGTTGAGAGGTAACGTGGACCGAAGATTCTACCAGCAGCTCCTGGAGCAAGGACAAAGTGGCCGGCCAAAAGAAAGTAGAGTACAAATACCCAAATGGGATAGAGTATTTTAAAGGCCGGAGATTGGCTAATGAATGGGAATGTTGCTAGCATAGAAGCCCAGCTTATGAAGAGGATATTCATTGGACACTTGAATGAGAATCTATCGGCAATTAAACCCCAGATAATTCGGCCAAGACAGTTGAAGGCGGACGACAGGGTAGCAATAACAGTTAGGTACTGATCGTCTGAAATGTACTCCTTGCCATAGGCTTTGAATGTGGATGTTTGAAGGGTGACCGGTACTACGCCAAATAGCATTACAAGCCACAAAAAGTAAAAATCTGGGCTCCTGAGAGCTTCAAAGGCAGTGTAGCTGACGACTGGGTTTGATTTAACACGAACGCTAACAAGAATGCTAAATTAACTTTAATAATTTCATACTTACGATTTCATTGTCTTTTCAAAGTATGAATCATGGCTTGAATCGTCTTCCAGGCTTCCCTCCGCATATGTAACGTTGGAGTTTGGTTCGCTGTAATCTAGTGGAATTTCCTATTTTGTGAGAAATTTCAAATAAATCATGAATACCAAAAACTTACCACATTGACTGGTTTATATTCTTGAGTAAGAATTATTCCAATTATCTGCATTCCAAGAATAATTCCACCAAAAACCAAGAGGGCATTCGGAATACGATCAGTAACATCAGGTCTAAAATTATTAAAGGAAATAATTAAGTGAACAACAATTCGTACGAATGGAAGTCCGGATTGTTGTTTGGATTAATTAAAGCAGTTTGAATTGGAGTAAATACGAGAGCGCCAAGACCGTATCCCGCAGCTATCAAACCAACAATCGCAGAACGGTGTTCTGGAAACCACTAAAAGTAAACCAAATAAAGATATTAGACAATATCACTTAGTTCTAAAAATTATAAATTTCTGTTTTTATATTTACGGAAGATGCAACGGAAAGAAAGACGGAATAAGGCAAACCGATCCCGATTCCGAACATTATGCAATAAGTTACAATGAATGGTCCCAAACCATGTTCCACAGTCAATCTAGACAGAAATATACCACCCCTTATAATTGGATGTATTTATTAGTAATAACTTACCAGCCCATAATAGAGCCTATTATCACGGGCCATCGAAATCCGAAGTGCACGTGCAAAATGCCTCCAATAGGCATTGTTAGAGCTTGAAATGCCAGAGCGACTGAACTGAACCAAATCGTTTCACTACTCTTGATATTCATATGTGCTGCTAGATACGGACCCATATTACCTTGAAATAAAAAAACATTTATTTATTTGCAAATGAATTTAGTGGTAAATATATTGAATAAGATTTTACCCATCGTGTAGTAATAACCCATGGATAGGTTAAAGATAAATGCTCCAATTATGGACAAGATTCCCGTAATAACCCTTTTTGACATTTTCATATATTTTCGATATACAGCAATCTCATTACGTAAAGCCGCGATATTTATAGCTTTATTCCTAATGAACCGTTTAAACAAACAAATATTTCACAGTAACATTAGAAATATCCATTTAGTCATTTACGTTCACTTTTGCTTCAAAATCTTAAAAGTAACTATTAATTTATAAAAGATAAGTATTTAATTAAATTTCAATAGTTCATAGGTATTAAAGAATAGAGCATGCTATGAACCAAATTTTAATGCCCTACTCAGCTAAGGCATTTGATGAAGTGTTTTATTCGCACTATTTGGATGAATATATTTCAATGTAGGTGCACATTTATATTTGAAATATTTTCCCAGTAGAATGTCATTGCGTTAATTAAATGCACTTCACTGTTGCCTCTAGTTTATTTTTTCATATATTTATGCTTGTTCTCCAAATAAGTTTCTTATACTATTATGCCTTTCACTAGAGCAACTTTAGACCAGACTTTAGTAACGAGCTTGCCGTAGTTTGCATTTGGCATATTTGCGTCTGGAATTCTGAGTGGAATCATAAATCGACACGACAATGGAAGCAATAACTCTATGGTTCATTTATCTCCATACCGTCCTAGAGCCCCACAATTGGGTCTATTATGCAGTTGACTGAGGTTAATTCAGATCACTCAAAATTGTTTGCCAGTAATGCTAATTGACTTGATTTTTTTCCAATTTGGTATCGTAGTGAAAGGAGCTTGCTTTTCCACGGCTTAGCTTGAAGCAGTCCTCTAGATGGGTGTTAGAAAAACCTCTGAAGCTAAACCTACCCACAAGAACAGTGTTTATGCATTCTACTTGGAAGAATAAAAATAAATTAGCTAACGATGTAATTTTATTAAATTGTAATTCGAGTAATGCATCAATTTCTGATTGAATAAACGCCAACTGGCAAGACTTATAAAGAGAGTAACAAATTTAAATGAAGTGCGCAGAAGTGTTCTAATCGGCCTTGGCAATTCCAATCACTCCGCAAGCAACACGAGCTCCGGCATTCCCTGTGGTCAGACTCAGTTCATGGCCACCCAAGCCCAGATCATCCGGGTCAGCGTGAACCTAAAACGCAAAGAAAACAATGCAAAAATGCAACATTATAAGCAAGTCATGATCTTATAAATATTGTAAAAAAAACAAAGGGCGACAGTAATTTCAAATACAAAACAAAGCAAATCGAAATGGATTGTTGCTTATCTGGCGCCTAGGTTTATCACAGAATACAAACAAGGTTTGTTATCGCGAGATGAGAAACTCCGACAAGTTGCCTCTAATTCACCCGCAACCCACATCAGTGTCTAGTTCCACGTCATTACCAGCAACTTGACAATTAGTCGAAACAAAGGATTGCAAAGATCCGGTGCTGTTTTGATCCTCACAAAATTGATATTACAAAGGCTGACATGTATTCCAATATTTTTTGAGAAACAACACATCTGTCCTAATTCTCGTAGCTAAATGCAGTATAGCAATATATAGTAAATATATTAATAATAGAGGCAGAATGTAAATCCCCTAGCATTACAGGCCATTATATTTGGCACTCGAGTTTCGGCTGGACTGTAAAGACCGTGCATTATTTCCCTTGCTCCCATATAACCTTGAACACTAATCAACGTTTCCATCAACCAGTTGTAATAAGCTCAACTATATAAAGAAAATTATATCACCGTGGCTCCAAGAATACTAAGTGCATCCACCCGCCATCCACATACCAAATTTATGCCGTGAGGACGTCCTCCCCCTTTTACTTCTAGTCTTAATTTTGTTCACATTCTTGCGGTTGTCCAATATACCCGATAGTCTCAAATCCGATCTTACGCAAAAGCGATGATCCTAGGCAAAGCTTAGAGTGCAACCGGAGAAAAAAGAACATTGCAGTTCAACGCTGCCGTAAATGTAAAAATACTTGCGATAGCTACAAAGATTCAAGCAAAACTGCTTTAGGCTTTTTAATTTATGTCAAACGTCTAGATGGATCGAAGTTAGATTAAGGGATTATCAAATACAGCTCAACGGAGGATAGTAGATGTAAAAACTAAAAAATTAACATAAAGAATAAACACAGAAAGTCAAAAATGTAGAGATAAGTATTTTATTTAAACTAAGCATGTATACAAGATTACAAATTTATAGAAATTTGAAATCTAAAACATTGAAGACATGGCTTGGATTTTACCTGTATAGAAATTTAGCAGTAGTCTGCAAGACCGAAAAGTTCAAGGCCTCACAAGTAGGAAACCGCAATCTTATGAAGTAGTTATTTTGTTAAAATATGCCTAATTGACTTCACACAAACGGATATTACTTAAAACCAATACACACAAAAAGTAATACATCGAATATCTAAAAAATTAATGATACAATCTTTAACTAAGTCAACCACTGATAAAGGTCAAAGCAAACCCGGTATATTAAAAAGGTGATAAAAACATAAAAATAGAATGATCAAATTCGGGAGCTGATGATTTAAAAACAAATGAAATCAAAATTGGGTTGATGTGAGATATATTCGTGTCGAGAAAATATTAGGCACAAGTTTGATTCAGGGTTATTTTTTTAATTAAGTATTTTCCACTTCATTTAGTCCAGAGAGCAGAAAATCTATGCATATTTAAGCACACCAATTCATAGTTCATCTAAAATCTTAAGAGTTCGTTTATGGGCTAATAAGGACACAAGTAGGAGATGATTCCACCGCGTACCTTGAAGATCAAAATGAAAAATTTATAAAATCTGGTATAGCAATTAACTAACTCGTCACAAAGCCCAAATTTTCCTTAGGAAAACTTTATGACAATATTCATATACTCAAGATCAATGGTAAAAGACGAATTCTCAACTGGGGCTTAAGAGGTGTTAAACGGAGAGCGCCGATTTACAACTATGATAAAATTCTAGATGAAAATTTCTCCCAAAGCGATAATAAGTACCAAAAAATTCGTCAATGACGAATGAATGATGAAAACTTTGAATGTACAAAACTATAAATAAGCAAAATTGAGAAAGTAGTAAACGTATAACACAAAACCACCAAAGGATAAACGACCAATAATTAACTAATGTCCAGACTTACACGGTTAATAGTAAATTTGGTTCGGTTTAAAGTAGTAATGCCTTATAAATTGAAAAGGTAATGCATCAAGTAATGTAGACAAGTCATCTAATAACTTAACAACGTACGAAGATTATACACTACTTACCACCATACATCTCCCGATAATGGAATTTTCCCCCGAAAGCGAAATTAGTTTGTCAGTAAGATCTAAGACGGCTTTTCCATCGGATCCAGCCTCAACATTACCAAGATCACCAACGTGTCGCTCAGAAGCATCAGGTGCTCCATGATTCTTCTTATGAGGATTGAAGTGAGCACCAGCTGAAATACAGCCTTGAGTCTGATCTCCAAACTCATGAACATGGAAACCGTGCTTGCCGGGTTTCAGACCTTCAAATTCTGCATGGATCTTTACAGCGTCATCCTAAGAACAAATGGATTGCAATCAAATCGTTAATTAAGAAGTAACAATGCAATTGCATAATGCAAGGAAATTACCTTTTGTTCAAAATGAACAACGCCCTTAGCGCCTTCCTCACCCCGCATAACACATACTGCCTTCTTCATGATTATCCGCGATACGGTCAACTTAGGACCGGTAACATAAGGATATTTAAACAATTTTAAGGAACAGATGCTTAAAATTCGTAATTCGAGCTAGTTAAATTATTTTTGAAATAGCATCATTTTCATCACTTAGAAAGTTAAATTTGATAAAACATAAGGCGATTATACTAGTGCTGGTTACAGCGGAGACGCATATCGTTTCTTTGCCTATTACAACAGATTCCAAAGCGATTAATAATATACATAGCGTAAGCGTAACAAGTTCGCAATATGTGAGTTTTCAATTTATAGTAGTTAGTATGATGATGATTAGAGTATTGATTTTAATATTTAGCAATTTTGCAATGCAATTATCAAACGGATATTGCAATAAGTTTGCATTAAAGCAAATATTAATGATCGTCTTGCAATTTTTATTCAAAATTCATTTTCGTTAATGTCGTTTGTAATTTGTAATTGAGCATTATGCATTTAAAATAAAAAATATAGAAATTAAGGGCTAAGATGATAAGATATTTTTCCTTCTAGTGATCTCTTTCACTGGCGAAAGAAATAAAATGGAGATCAAATTTAGAAATAAACTTGTCTGTTGAATTATCGGGTTTGAGCAGTGCCTAGGTAAGTGTCGGTAGCATTGCGAACTTGCTTATTGTGAATAATCTTCGCAACAATTTGTTTTGCGAGTTAATTCTGTTTTCATTCGTAAATGAACTTACCATATATTTAGCTTAAAGTACTCTCATAGGTTTATTTAATTTCGTTAAAATCGCCTGTCGTGAACATTTTATATAACAAACTTCAGCCCTGTGTTTATAATGCTCACTTTCCTTATTTTAGTTGAATAGTGGTTATCTACGCCATCCGCACCGAAATTCTTTATATATTTTTTCGATAAAGATGATTCAATCATCCTCATGCTTCAATTAGACACCTTTTTATATACGTTAGTGTAACAATATAGGTGGAACAATAATGACGAGAGAGTAGCAATTTTCTACCGAGAATATTTATCTTATGGCACGAATATCAAAGGACCATTTCCATTATGGAGTAATTAAATTCATTTTTCCATCAAAAACAGATTTGTTGAATATATTGCATTCATTAATTTTTTAATTCAGAAGTATTCAAATATATATATATATATATATATATATATATATTAACGTCCCAAATACCTCTTCCTAAACTTCACATGAATTAAATATAGCGACAAAGATTTAGACCAACAAAAAATCGTTTACCTTAAATTCTTATTTTTAAATCTATTGTAAACAGATTTTACAAATTTAGTAAGGTTCTGTCTTCCGCTTTTTTCCAAACGGCCTAATAGCTCAGAAAATTGACCTTGAAAAACGCCACTCATAAGTAGGGGTCGGCATGTGTTACAGTCTGTGATGAATTTAGTTCATTCCCTACTGAAGAATAATTCGTATCCTCGCTTGTTAATGGCACCGTCTTCTCGAATTCATGTTGCTGTCGTTGGAACAGGATCCCCGGGATCTCCTAAGAGTGTTCTTCTATGTACAGATAAAACACGTTATTTAATTAACTGCGGTGAGGGGACACAACGAATATTAACTGAGCACAAGTAAAGTACACTTATTAATAAAGAATTAATTATTATAGGTCGAAAGCTTCCAAGATCCATCATGTTTTCTTCACACGAATGTCTTGGAGACATCTATCTGGGCTTCTTGGAATCGGGCTGACTGTTAAAACTGCTGGTGTGAAACAATTATTTGTTCATGGCCCACCATCTATTGTACGTCATATGGTATCTCTTTATTGTTGTACGAGTACTTTATATTTATCTGCTTTCCTGCTTAGACGCAATTAATGAGATTGACTCGTCATTTTGCTGATGCCTCAACGTCAGAAGTTGGTCAGTTTAATTAGCAGCATCTTGCTTGTATCTCCCATTCCTTATAAAAGTTTTGTCTTGTTATTTTTAGTACAAAGTAACATTTTACAAACTCCCCTCATTGATGATGACTTTCGGATTACTGCGTTTGAGTTGAATAGAGAAGAAATAGAACCATGTTCGTTTTCAATATTTATCATTTCTCTTGATAATCTTTAAAATTCGCGTCTTATTATATGTCTGACATTTGCAGGTATGAAACGCAGCCGAACAGAAGAGAATAATAATTTTCAACCTGTCTATGCCTATTTATTCCAGGTTTGATTTGGTTATACAACGTCTCATTTTTCTTAAACTTTAAGTGTTTGAAACAAAATAGAAAATTAGATCTGTCTAAGTGTGCCGCTTGTGGAATACCCAAGTGAGTTCATAATTTTTATCTGAACTTGACTCAACTTATTCTCTTCGTGCTATTTGATTCTATTTTTCTATTATAATGCATGTCTCTTTCATCATTACATTTATCTTTTCTATTAAGTGTTCTGTTCTTTATCCAACAAAGCATTTTAGGTAATAGAAGTATAGGATTAAGTGTAATTCTAAGTCTGAATTGAATAGCAATTTGAAAGTTGTGCCGTTTCATGAAAGAAGGCTTCAATAATTTAAATTTTAAATTTTGCCATCGCAAATTGTAATCTGTTTTGTTCATACCGGTTTCTTCTCTCTTCATCTGATTGTTCAAAATGCTAAATTTTTCATATAGGGTATCTCTCTAAGTCTTGTTTCTTCTACGCCTGTTCAGTATTCTTTTCTCCGTTTCCCTACTATCTGTTTGATGACCTCTGAATGATTCCATGCATTGTTATTTGCGTTGAAGGTGTCGTCAATTTCTTGAGAGTGGCATAAGGTTTTTCCTTCAATTGCGCAGATGAACTAGAATAATTTTAGGCAACAGGGTTTCCAAGACAATTATATAAGCTGAAATAATTGATTTAATTAACTTTGCGCTATTGGTATTTGGGAAGTATTCGGGTCAACTTAAACATCCACATCCAAGGCCTTCAAATTGCCAGCTCTATTGCACTCAAAGCTAGAAAACAGAATCTTAACTGAATTCATCTACTCAAGTTGGGTATAAATTAGACTAGTTTGGGGCTTTCGCGTAGTTATCCGGGTAGGCCATCAACTAGGTTGCATTTTCTGGGCATTTAATACCCTTAAATTCGAGACCATCAATTCGAGAGACCGTCACAAATATAATGAATAAGTACAGTTAGGACTTTCTTTGAAAATTTCCCATTTTCATTAATTTTCTCAACCTGCCAGTGAAGTTATTCGTTCTCCGAAAATACGTCAGCTAATAGAAGGGGAGTCCCTAGCTTTGGATAATGGCAAAGTGGTGCGTTCCTTTTATCTTATTGCTTCTTCTCTCCTTAACGTTAGGGGTTCTATGTTGTTGCCTTTTGGTCTTTCAGATTTTACCTACTGATGTAACCTCAGAGCCCATTACTCCCAGAAATATTCTCGGTAAAATTATTGAATGACTATTAAATCTCTTTTTATTGATTTTCGGTTAATTACTACTTGTTGCTATTTGATTAACCTAATTTTGGCTGCCTAGTTTTAGTTAAGAAGTTTTTGTCCTATTCAACTGCTACATCACTTACGTTTTTATTGAGTAGATCCAGGTCTTTTATCGACGGTAGAAATGCTTCAAAAATATTCGAAAATATCAGGTGTTTGCGCTATACTTCTCACTTGCAAACTGTTTCTTACTTAAGCTGAAAATATTTATTTATATCAAATGGCACTCTTTGTGATGTTTAACATTATCCCCTTAGTTGACTTCGGACTTCGTTGAGGAAGGGGGGGGGGACATCAAAGTCACAAAAAGTCGACCGGGGGGGGGAACAGAAGAGTGATTCACAGATGTCAAAGACACAAACACAAAGATAGGGAAAAAGGTAAGGTGATTACTGTGAAGGTGATCGAATATGATGCGGTGGGGTCACGGTAGGTTGTAGTGAGAAGTCAACTGTCGGTTAATAGACTTTGTCGAATGATGAGTATACGTTGCCCAGGGTGCACCATGTGGAGATAAGTCTATCACACACCCAAGCTGAAAATATGGACCATAGTAAAGTGTCTTTACGGTTTCCAAAATGTCTGTTTCAATTTTCTCTAACTATTTGATTCCATTTTATATAATGACAGGTATCGGTATTTAGAATTCCCATCAAATTCCTAATTTTGTTTTCGAAGGTGAAAATTGAACTAATTGAACATCTAGTGTACTATCGCCATGATCGCGAAGTCTTTTAATTAATTCATAACCGTTCAGTAAGCTAGTTTCTATGCCTTTATATCGCCACTTCGAGTTACTTATATTGATTCCATTCTCTATTCCCATCCCAACTTTTCTCCTAGTTCTTGAGTGTCCCCACGAATCCTATATTCCACAATTTCTGAAGGCCGACAACATCTTCAACGCCATTGAATCTTTTCAGACGTCCTCGGGCAACATACGCGGCACTGTCCCTGGCATTAATTTGGTCATTCATATGGTGCCTGAAGGCCTTTTTGAATCTCCTCAATATCAGGCTCTCGTAACTCGGTATGCTACTGTTCATGTTTTTTTTCTGCCTTGCAGTGTTTTGCCATGGTTTTCAAAATTTTGTTTATTTTTTATTCATACCGACTCTCTCTGGTTACGAGCTATTATTGTCAATTAAGCAACCGAGAAGCTGAATTCAATTTTGATTTCATTGCTCACTGATTTCCACTGGTTTTTTTTCAAAAATCGAACTAAAAGTGCGGTATTGCTGACTTGGTTATTTGTTTGGAAAATTATATGTAGTTTAATTATTTGTATCGACACTCATTTCAAATAATTTATCATACTGCCCAACTGAACCACTTATGCAGCGAGTGCCTTGACGCAGTTTTCAGTGGATATTAATATTTAGTGTTTGCTAAGTTAGTCAATGTCGGAGCTGTTGGTAGAGTTTAATTATTGCATCATGTCATGTGATTTCGCATTCACTACTTCCCGAAATTCATGGGTTCGATTTCATATCCATCGTCATAAAATGCGAAACCTATGACAGTCTATTTATTGGACGTTATCTCTTGTAGGACTTATTGTCCTACCCCGTTATGGGTTGGTTTTCTAAGAAAGCGTCAATCAATACCCAGTTTAAACAGAGAATTAGTATCATTGAGTCTTCTTGATAAGAAAATCAATTCCTATTACCTCTTTATTAGCGGTTGGCCTTAGCATCCACTGAATTCCCATCAATGGGAATCCCATTTGTTTAATTTGTCATTTTAAGTGAGCAGGTTTATCGCTACACCATTGTCGCATCAATGTGTCGACCAGAAAACTCTTAGCACTTTACTTGCTAAATGGTCACATTTAATGGCTTTCCGATTATTCGATGCATCTTTCAACTCTGTGTTTTGTCAAGTGGCTTTGAGTGTCTCAGACTGTACTAGGAAAAGATAATGAAATACAATTCCAAGGTTTATCTTTTATCTCCTGAAATACATAATTTTGAAGGCTGTCTCTAGGTCGCCTGTCTTCATTATGAAGACGGGGTGGATGTCGTTCTGGATAGATGGGCAATTATTTGGTTTAAAACTTATCAATTCTAACATCAGTGACATGAATACAACTCTATAAGAGTCGTTGATTGTTGACTTGAGTTAAGTGCATTTTCTCTTGACCTCTCTCTATTCTGGGTCAATTGCAGTTTGGTGACAGCTGGTAGTCTAATTAATATAGTGAGATAATGGATATTTGTGCCGTTTTTTCTCATCCATAAACCTTTCTTTTTCACTAGTCTTAACCAATATAGTAAGAAGGTGGATCCTGTGGATTCAGAATCACAGCCTGCGCAACCTGGAGAAGATGGTCTCCATCATCTTGTACTTGACGGTTCCAGCGATCGGCCTGCATGCTCTCCTATCACCGGTATTTTCAGTCAATCTGCCGTCCTCAACACCTACTTTGACTCGCAGGTCTATCCCAAGCTTGATGCCCTTCGTTCATCCAAGGTTTGTGCATATTTCCATTATTCTTTAAAGAAACGTCTACTTATTTAACTAATAGTAGTGAAGATTTCTAATAGTTAACATCTTTTTATTAAGGTTCCGGTGCCAATTCAACTGTGATTTTGGTAGTTGTTTTCTTTTTATAAACGAGGTAACGACTAGTTACTTTCACTATGATGTTTCCTCACTTCTACTCTTACTTTTATTTAGTTTATTTAATCAGGTAAAATTTGGAAAGGAGGTATATAATACTAACTGGAAGGTGAGTCGGATCATAGGATAATCGATTTCCTTTCCTATGTCAAAAATTTTCACTTAATTCTAGATGTGATATGTGCCACTTCGTCCATATTTGAATTCTTCAGCTTTAAAAGCGTCTAGGTGACAGTAGGACTTAGGGTTCCCATTGGAAGCACTTCTCTAAATCCCCTATTTCATAGATAATTCCACCTTCATTTAATAAAATAAGAAACTATACATCTGGAATTTATTAGGCTTATGAAATTGAGTTGGTGGACACAAAATTACACCAGAGGAGGAGCAGTTTCTCTTATCAGCTGGTACTTTTTCTAGTTGTCTCTTGCAGCAGATGCTCGTACTAAATCCCACATCAACACTGAAGGTGTTACTCGGAGTTGCGCTGCTTCAATCATTTTCTACTGTTCAAAATATGTCTAGAAAGTTGGGATTTGAGTTCCTTGTTGGTTATTGCGTCCAACAATGACAGTGCAGAAACATGGCTTTCCTGTTGGAAAGCGTTCTCATACTGTTAGTAGCTTCCAATTTCATCGTTTTCGTTTCGGTTCTAAGGATGTTGTGGGTTACATCTTCATTTAATTTGCGACATGATAAATGGTTTGGAATTTTTTATTGAAAGTTGCTATTTCTGGCAGATTGCCACTCTGTAGCATACGTCTACGGATTTTTATCGATAACCACTTCGATCTCGCATGAATTTATCCAGATGTACTAAAATTGCTCGCCTTCATGCGAATGCCATCGAGATGCTTAATGTGCTCTAGAGTCCAAACCTTTTCCATCTTCAACTCTCCATTGCAACTCGAAGTAGTATTTTCCCAAAATAAGCCTGGAAGTAGGGGTGTTGAGCGAATTCTCTTACTTTTAACCTTAGCGGGACACCTCTTTGCTTTGAAAAATTACTTTTTGAATTCTAAAACCTCGGACACAGGATTTAGAGCTCGCTTACTCGATGAGCTAACTTTGTCGCTCTCTGAATGCTTCATTATGTCAAGAAATAATTTCGCATTTACATTTTGTCTCCAATACTTTACTATACTTTGTTCTCCTAACCTAACTGTATGAAAAGAGCATACAATCCACATAAATTAATTAAAAGTACTTTTCCTTTCAATAGAAACCAGATCTTTCAAAAATCGAGCCATTTTCGAAGGTCGTGTACGCCGAGCCAATGTTAAAGTACAGCATTCGTCCGCATTCTGGTTTCAGCACGTACGATGAAAGTGGTTTGAGCTATCCTTTGAAAGTGTTATCTTTAATTTATTCGCTATTGCACTTTTCTTGCCATTACAGGGAGAATTGCATAGTCTTAAACGAAGAGGAGCTGATTAAGCAGTCATTTGAACCCCTCTACGTTTCTGAAGATGAGGCAGTAGTGAAATGCAAGACAATGAGGGAGGAGATCGAGGCAGCTCTCATTCGACGGTCCAAAGGTAATTCACCGCCCTGTTTTGTAATTATCTACTTATTTTTATTAAGTAGAAATATTTTATAACTTTTTGATTTGTTTTGTTTAATTTTTTTTCAGATACTCCGATTGCGCCTCTGGATGAATTGGAGTGGCCAGAATTTACTTTTCTTGGAACTGCCTCATCTTCGCCCAGCAAGTATCGAAATATAAGCGCTATTCTGGTTCGTTTGAGGTAAAAGTTGCTGCCACCTGACTTCCCTTATTTTTTTTTACGAGAGCTGTGAAATTTTCAATGCTCTTTGCCAAGTTATGATTGCTGAAGAATTTCTATTCGAGTCTGAACTACCTGAGTTCAATTCACTTCACAGGTCACATTCTAAGTCGAAACAAACAGTTCTTCGATTTAGCAAACAGTTGCGTTACTTGCTAGTCTCGTTAATTGGTGGATTTCATAGTTATATCTTCTTGTTATTTGGTCCACTTCATTTCAATTCTATTTACCTTTTAACGGATAGTATATTTTTTTTGCTTTATAGCAAAATAAGGGGTCTGAACAATGAATACATTTGGGATGATTTGGACTTCTATTTGCTTAGTCATCGGACCGCGAATTTAGATCTTAATTTTTAGATGAGAAAATAAGTAATGCGAATTAATGCCTTTTGTTAATTGCAAAGTCCCCCAACCTCATCAAAGGGCATTAAAGGTGCCTAATCTGGGTAGCCAAAGGGTAACTTGAAGTCATACCGATCATCCACGACATCCTATGTCTACCTGCTTGGTGTCGATTTCATAATATTTGATTTGACAGGTAGGTGTGTGTATGTTAACTGCTAAGCCACCATTTTTGTTAGTTTGCTTTTATTATGTGGCGAACATGTTTGTAAAGTTAACCTAAGGCCCCATTATGAGTCTGGCCGATTTTATATTCCCTGAGATGGATATTCGAAATTAGGGATTTTTGTGAGTGTAGCACAGATGTGGTAGGGGAAATTTGGTTATCGTTGAGTATATTGCTTGTCGAGTGTGTCTGATCATCTACTGCTAATTTTCATATTATAACGGCATTCTCCTAAATTCCAGTCCAAACGATTGTATCCTCTTGGATTGCGCAGAAGGAACTCTCAATCAATTCTACGCACTCTACGGAATTGAAGAGACACATAGACTACTGCGAGGTCTCAAACTCATTCTCATCACTCATATGCACGCTGATCATCATGGGGTAAGTACTCACAACTTTGCCTTTTCATTCAATCTTCTCTATTTTTGCCCTCAGGGTGTGCTGACAATAGCCCGTAAGGTGGATGAACTAATTGGCAGTAAAGAGGGCTTGGCCGTGCTAGCGCCTTCCCCATTCTGGCGTTGGGTGAATAACTACTCAGAACTGTTTAACTCCTCTTCAACAAAGCACGTTCGTCTCTTCTGTATTAATAGTGTCTATAATGACCCTGTGCCTAGTCGTGCACCATCGGCTAGTGAAATAGACGCATCAAGTGCGCAGATGAATCCGATCTGGCAGTTGAAAAATTCTGGCCCCGATGTGGCGGCTTGGGTTAACCTTCTTTCTCAGTTAAAACTCAAGGTGGAGCCAGTTAAAGTGCCTCATACAGGTACTTCTTGGGGATATGTTATATCTAGACCGAAGGAAAGTGATGCTGATGATGCAACACTCTGGAAGGTGGTCTATTCAGGCGATACTCCTCCGTGTTCACATTTAGCTAAAGCGGGACATGGCTGTGATCTTCTCATTCATGAGGCGACGATGGGCGATGGATATGAGGAGCAGGCCGTTAAAGCCCGACACAGGTAAGCACATAAAGATCAAATACCATGCATTACTGTGTAACTCAGATGTTATCCACTTTTTTTGCTAATGAACTTTCTCTAACCTCATCACTGAAGCTACTTTAAGAGCCAAAGCATATTGGAATATTTATTCTCTCTTCAAATTTATGATGTTCCCAAGAGTTACTAGGATACGAAAGCGTTCTCAAGTCAGAAGGCCAAACATTGGCCCAGACTACGGATGCAGTGGGGAGCCATAAAGTTACATGAAAGGATTTAGAAGTGAATAAAAGCGTTAGCACTGAGTGATTGGAACCTTGGTTGTCATAAGCAAGGTGCGCTGAGGGTGTTGTGTTTGGATAATATGCAAAGACAAACAGTCTAAATAGATAGATGAAAGATGGGAGGGGTGGGGGGGGGAGAGAGAAAGCGCCTGTCTTGTCTATGTGACTCCATCCCCTCAGCATCATTGCTTGGGAAGGTTCCACTTCCTCATAGTTTTAATTTGCGTACAAGGTGCGTATACTTGCGTTCGTCTCACTAGTTCGTGGGCCTACCAGCTTTGCAGTTTATGGTGGTATGCCCTGAGTTGAATGATATTGCGTCCTTTGTCCCTCATTTTTAAAATTCATCACCCATCAATTTTGACAGACCACATTTACGAGTGATTGGGGCGTAATTATTTTAGCACAACCGGGGAGGCCATCCAAATTGGTCGGATGATGCAAGCGAAATTTATTCTTCTGACACACTTCTCTCAACGCTTTTCTCGTCTGCCAAGTTTTGACACTTTCCAAGAGGATATCGCGCCTGCTTTCGATTTCATGCAGGTTTGTACTTTCAATAATACTTATAAAATCATATCTTGGCCTTCGTCCGCAAAGTTTATTTGCTAAATGTGTTGCCCACAATTCTAAGCTCCTAGTCAAAAACACGGCTTAATCCAAGGCGCTTAATTACTGATCCAAAATATTAAAATTAGAAGACTGGGGGGGGGGGGGGGGGTNCGGGGGGGGGGGGGAGGGGTTGGAAGTTAGACGCGTCTCTTCAACCGTAATGCAGTAGTCTTTTTATATATGACAAGTGCTATGAGTCCGCAACTACTGTCTGTACAGATGCGAGTAGCTATAACACACTGTAAGCTTCATGTCATTACAAGGTCTATGATATGGAGGTGAGAATCAGTATAGCATGTAGCAGCCCTGTGCTCATATTTGATACCTCTGATTTCTACCATTAGAGCCATTGACTACCCTTGCTAATTGACACTAAGGGAGTGCAAAATCGTTGCTTCATGTCTTGCAAAGAATGAGTAGCTCTTTCCATTATTCAGTTGTGATAATGGGAATAGTGCCCAATGAAAAGTTGGTGCATTCCCGAAATAGAACCTATATTATCATTGGAAAGGTATGGGAAATAGCGTTTGGTAATAAAGCAAATCTAGCACTCTTATTCGGAATGCTTGCATTTCAAATGTAGCAGAACTGCAGGGACAGCCAGGGCTGGGACGATTAATGCTAGAAACACTGGAGCAGAATTTAGAACTCATGAAATGGGAGAAATGGGTTAAATTAAGTGTAAAGAGATTAAAAAAATACGTATACTTTGAATGGATTGAGTATAGATAGGGTAATTTGATGGATTGTCAAATAATCACGAAGACTTCATACCAACACGTGATTCCGTTTGCCTCAAGATAAATTCTGATTACAATGCTATGAATGTTTCTAATCTCTGCAATAAGAAAATAGGCTTTCCCAAAGCGCATAATTATTTCAGAGTTTGAGTGGTCACACCGCTCTCGAAGGAAGGTAAAAGTGGAAGTGGAAATTGGCGGACTAGGCGTTTGAAGAAGTCATGTAGATTATTAAGTTGAGTCACGACAAAGCGGTAGTGAGGGGAAACCACTAATTTATATCCAAATGCGCTTCGATAACGGGGGGGAGTGCTTTGTCGACAATTCCATTTCTAAGACTCTTATTCTTAATTAATTAAGTCCCTAAGGCGAGTGGTAATGGAGCCCTATTCCATGGCATTGAATTTTCTAGTCAATGAAGAAAGGTCGAACTTCCTTTGTTTGAATTATTTTGGCCCTTCAAAATATTTCACCTGCTACTACCTTGATATCGTTTTTCTCAAGTGCTTTTTCCTTGAACGCCTTTATACTGTAGGTGAAATTCAGGGATCTTTGGAAATTGCCATACTTCTTGCCGTATTATAAGTATGCATTTGCAAAGCATTGGGAGTTGTTGCAGAATCGGGCCGACGCCAATGAGCAAAAGAAGAAGTTGAAAGAAGAGGCTCTTCAGCAGACACGAACTGCTGTCTCTGATGCTCTTTCGGGTAACTTCAAGAAACGAGGGGAGTCTTCTTCTTCGTCCTAATCGCCTGTAGATTTGAGCTTGATGAATTTGTATTCACCTTTTGTAGATTTTGTACACTGCCTCTGAAAATAAAGAAAACAAAACTTTTTCTGCCACTTTAGTTTATGTCTCCTGTGGAGTGTGGGGGGGGGTATATTTGTAAGCGTTCAAGTTTGTATTGTATTTATAATAAATGGCAGGCGGTTTGATAGTTATCGCTGACCCTTAAGTTGACTTGAGGCTTCACAGAGGGGAGGAACATCAACGTGAAAAAGTCTAGAGGGGGGGGGGGATAGAAGAGTGTTTCAAAGATGTAAAAGATACAGACACAGAGGTAGAAAAAAGGTGAGGTGAGTACTGTGGAAGTAGTAGAATATGACATACAGTGGGGTGATGGCGGTTTGAAGTCAAAAGTCAACTGCCAGTTAGTAGACATTTTTGCCGTATGAGTATGCGTTGCCCAGGCTGCACCACATGGAGGTAAGTCTATCGCACACCCCAGGTGGGCGCCGTAAAGGATAGGAAGCTAGCAGAGCGTGGTTTCGGTCCACGGACCTCTGGGTTATGAGCCCAGCACGCTTCCACTGCGCCACTCTGCTATCATTTCTGGTAGCAGATGTTTAGGCTTAGACATAAATGGTCGCACTTAACTTCGAGATTAGTTAAAATGTCTATTATCCCTTAAACCCTAGAGTTCACCTTCTAACCTCCTGGTGTTCACCATTCCTAACTGGATGCTTGGTGTCCTTTGTGCTTTTATGCGGGCGGTTGGTTAAGCTGTGGTCTAATCATGGCAAAATGTGTGAATAGGGAAGCCAATAAGATATAAAACAGAGCATCAAAACCCTTTGTTCATTTGAATTTGGAAGTACTTATTTGCTAGCAAAGTATTTAATATGATTTTCAAATTTCAAGAATTGCATCCTCTGTTCATAATTGGAATGCTGGGAGCTGTTGATTGGCTGATTCAGTTCCATGGCTGGGCATTTTGCTCCAATTCATTTGAACGTTTTCTCTGGATAAGAGGCGATAGAAAAAGCCCATCATTGATGCCTTCACTACTTTCTGTTATCATTAGGAACTACAAGACTTGCTGTCTCCTAAACACCCTCAGTGTATTTGTGATTAGAATGAACTTATTTGCACGCTGAAGAAATCGTAGGTTTTATAGTTGTGCGATGTTCAGTAACTCCAGAACCATTTATTTAGGAGTTCAAAGGTCGTGTTATATATATATTTTAAACATCAATTTGCACATACCGTCGTTATTAACTATTGGCGAGGCAACAATGCAAATAGGCTCTGCCTTGAGAGTGAATTGAATTCAGCTGTGTTGTTTTAAGGTAAGGCAGATCATCCTCAGGAGGGGCTAAATGAATCTTGGAACCTAAAGTAGTAAAATGCTTTGTAATCCAAACCGATGCCTGCACTTTATTTTCAACGAATCTTCCAATCATCTCTTCTTTATCCTTCATTGACTGCAAGTTGTTGGAGTGTGAGGATCAAATAATGCCCTACTTGATAATAGTCTGCGTCCCAAATAACTGACAGCCTGTTTGGAGCTATACGCGCCACTCATTAGTAAGGTCAACGAGCCACCTGGAGACAGAACGTCGCCTTCCAATTGGGGGGGGGGGGGGGAGGGGGAGGGGGAGGAAGGAGTCCAGAATTTTGGAGGATCGAAGAAGCGTGCTAATATTATACTAGTGGTCCTCTGTTCATGATGACTAAATACCCTGCATATCATCCTACCTCCACTCCTTGGTTATTATGCCAATTAAGAACAAGGGGCGAATTAAAGTGCACTGAAATCAGCACTCAGTAAATGTCTCTTCTAGTGAGCTTTTGAACCCGGATTGTGTCTCGCAGGCAAAGGTTATGAGCAAAGCGACACGACCTACTACGAAGCCTTTGCTTTTGAAAGTGATGTCTGCATAATTACTTCCATCTATGGGTGGATTATTGTAGGCAAAGACGTCTTTCTATCCAAACCGTATTTGATATGGCGCTAAACTTTACTCGGTAAATTGGACAAAAATTGCAATCGCTTGGGGTATCACTACGATTGAATGAGCCTAAAAATGAGAGGAACCCCAGTATTAAGGTCATGCTGAATTATTAACATTCAGAGCCAAATTAGGGCCTAATTGATGGGCCTCACAGCGGGATACGGCAATTAATTGGAGACGCGCAACTGTTCAGTTTTGCTTGCGGTCTTTAATTAATATGAATCATTACCAGTCCATCACTTGAACCCGCTCTACAGGTCGAAAGTAATACAGACTAATTTGGCTAAACGCAAGACAAAACTCATCCAATTGAGTTATTACAAAAGAAAGCCATTTTTGTTGTGAACCTGAGTGTTTACAAATTTTTTTTTGCTTATGGGGTTTTTCGAATCAATGGTCCATTAAAATTACTAAGGATTGAACTGCGAACTGCGTGAGCCATGATAAAACAATGAAAAGGCTCAGAATTTGGCTCTAGGCAAGCTTCTAGAGATGATGAAGTCAGGGCACTAAGAATATGGGTGCATGAATTATCAATCACCTTACGTTGGGAGTTACTTCAATGTGCAGTTGTTTATCATTTCAGAATGTAGAGCATATGCCTTCAAGCTCCAAAGTTATTTTATATTTGGGTATATATTTGTCGCCATTAAAAAGCTGAAATTTTTTAGGTACAGCAGAACTCACTGGAGGCCAATCAATGTGAACTATGTCGAAATGAGTATCACATACTTTTTAGGGAACTTGAGTTAGTGTGCTTTCCCTCGACATTTTTTCCCATGTTCCTACTATACTTGACAACCGGAAATTGTTGACAATGGCTTCTAATTTTAGACAGAAGATGCACGAGATTCAGGTCACTCATGATTGAAAAATTGACATTTGTAGAGGGCTAACTCTTTTACCTTTGCAACTGAAATACATCTGCACGATTACTTTCATTCGGATTAGATTTGGTTTGGTGAATAGTATCCTGAAGAGAACAAGTCTAATTAATTTAAAAAAACCGTTTGAACATTTCCCTTGAAGGTAAAAATATAGTACTGAAAACGTCTATTATAGTAGTACCCAAGAGTTGATGGATATGCTTACACTTTGAATGTACTTTACTCACATTGATTTTTCGTTTGACTAAATGTTGCCCATATGCAAAATGTAAGCAGACACCCGAAAATGCGAATGTAGAGAAATTATTGATTGAAAAGGCGACCAAAAATGTGTATCCGACACTAAATTATTCGCGAATTGTTTGCCATCGATAAATTGGGGGGGGGGGGGGGGGGGGGGGGGGGGNGGGAGTGGGGGGGGAGGGAATGGGGAACAATGAAGTATCCAGAAGACAACACAGATGATGCAGTGACCACTCAAGCAATAACTATTTATAGCAACAAGATTTTCAAATGGAAGGCGGAGTATCCTTTCTATTAGCCTTTCTTTATCCATATCATATTGCATATAATCAATAACTCCATGAGGTACATCGCATAGTAATAGAGAATAACTCGAGGGGTTTGAGAGAGATAACAAATTTCTAGACCACTTTTGACTGCCAGAAACTGTTTTTTGGAGATCATTGTAACAGTACTTACTCATATCTGAGCTAATATGATTGTTAAACAATGCTTAAGGCCACGAATTCAATAATGTTGTCCGAAGTGAGTTCAAGGTATAAACAGGCGAATAATGTGAATTAAAATAAAATCGGTAATTATTTATTTCTTATTTAAATATGTCATATATTGACTGATATCCAAATTAAATAGACTTTTAAAGTAGAAATTTAGACTTCGTTCATCGTGATAAAACACATAGGATTGATCTTCAAACATAGTTAAATTTAAGTGAAAGCCTGGATATCCAATTTTCGTATTATTCTGATATCGTGTAGGCAGAAATTTCGGTTCCAATAATGAAAGATCATGATTCATCATACTTTGATAAAACAAGATGGTGAGTAGAATCTAAATTATTTGGAAAGCCTAATTATTACCTTAATATCCATTTAGATACGCTTAGATAATTTCCTTCCTTTTCCAATCTCTCAGAGTTAAATACCACTCTCACTTATCTACTCCTCTCATATCAACTTACTGTACTTAAATTTGAATTACTTCAAACTCAAACAAAATGCTTTCCAAGCCATGTGAACTTCACTGGCATCAAATAGTTTTCCATTATCAAATGGTTGTATTCAAGCAAGGCAATGAGCTTGCTGACACACTTGCTAAGAAGGGGACAACGATTTTGCAATGCATGGACCGGCCGATGTCTTTCCACACAATGAAGGCCTTAATCAGGTAAGAATTCAAGAATTCAAGGTGCAACGAACTTAAAGCTCGAACAAAGGAGAAACAGTGGACAGTGGCAATCTCCGACATAGCCGACTGGCAAAGAATCGAAGGTGTTGCTGAGTTTAGACTACGTACCGGACACGATTGCTTGGCAAAACACCTTCACAGATTGGGAGTATACACTCAGCCCATATGCCCTCTATGTAACCTACATGAGGAAATGGAGAAGACCCACCTGATTCGATGTCCAGCCCTAAAGACAACGAGGGAAAGCCAGAGATACTGGGAAGCAAGAAGACAGCTAATGAACTGCTATTAACTAACTGCTATAAATGTACCCCCCACCCTTGGGGGAAAATGAAGTCAAAGTTTAAGGGCTAATGATAAATATCACAAAGCCTGCCATTTGAAAAAAAAATGATTGTATTCTGGTCTAATTGACTGTTATTTGAGGACAATAAGCGCTTCGACGAGTATAATTCCACCCCAAGGTAAGATTAGATTTTTATATAAATGAGATGATTATCGTTTTCCCCTTGGGATTTGTAAAAGCACAGAGTGAGGTGCTTTGATAGACCGCCTAAAAAAATCCTTGAATATTTTTGCTCAGTTTAGTTGGCAATGAGCCACTTCTTTTCTAAAGGGTGAAATATCATTCGTTTAATAATTATTTGATACAAGCAGTGAGCCGAAATTAATTAAGTTACTTCATACAGGCCAT